GTGTTTGTGTCACTAGCTACTATCACATTTCCAAATACATCACTACACACTCCCAATGCAACAAGCTTATGTCCTCCCTGAGTATTCGGATCATATGTAAATAGTTCCTCTCCATCGGAATTATAACACCTGATGATGTTATCTTTGGAGTATGAAATGATTGCTTCATTATTGCAGGTGATTGACATCCAAGGTACTTTTCCATCACGTTTTACATTACATGTTGATATTATTCTATTCTCTTTAATGTTAATGAATGATAATTTGCTATGTGTTTCACTGCCTCTATGTAATACTGCCAATTCTCCTCCTTGCCCTGCTGCTACACACCACACTCGTGGCATCACACAATCTACTGATCCTATACGCTCACCTTCATCACTCAGAATGCTAATGGTATGAGATTTACGATCTACACATATTATTTGATTGTCTATTGATGTAAGTCTTATACATTTCATATCGATATGATGCTTGATAACATAAGTGATGGGATCATGAATGTTAATACCAGCTTCTCTGTGAGCAGTTACTATACTCTGATTCTCTAATACAGTAATGTTATAGATCTCAGGAGTAGTTTTACACAGTTTTTCTATTTTAACTTGTTTCAACACAATATTCCTCGTGGATAATATTTTACCGAACGTTAGACCTGCCTCTGTAGAATCACCATCTACATACTGTGGAATGTCAAGTTCTGGTCTGATGTCAGCTATTGGGGTTTTCTTCCATTCTTGCACTTTCTCGGCTAGTTCTTGCAGAAATCGTGTGCTGTCTTCTGGGTTGTCAAACTGTAGATCAGAGTTAAGTTGTTGGAGTATACCTTGCGTTTTGGTTATTTCTGACTGAAGTTGATCATTATGCGCTTTGATCTTTCTAATATTGTCCTCCTGTATATTGTCGACTGTGACTACGTTCTCATCGTGCTGTTTTGTAATACTTTCTATTTGATTGTATTTAGTTGTTTCGATATCATCTGTAGACGTTACTTCCTTTAATTCATGTTCGTATTGCGTATTAACTGCGTTGGTTTGAACCTGTTTTGCAGATTGAACTTTTTCCTTCACTATTGCTGCTTTATTATCAAGATGCTCTTGAAATCTTTTATTGTTTGTAATTATTGTTTGTAATGTTAACTCTCTTTGTTCTGACGTGTGGATAAGACCTTGTTTAAGTACAACAGGCTTATGTCCCTCGTGAGTAGTAACGATGCAATCTCTGCAAACAACCTCACGACAGCGTGTACAATAGAACTTCAGAGGTTCATCAGGATGGTCTGTGCAAGTATTGACGGGTTTTCGAGTTTTCTTCACTTTTCCAGGAGTTTTCTTCGATTTATGTTTTATACTTTCTAAAACTCCAGATAATGCATAATTCCCTTTTAATTCGCTCGCTCCCCCTCCCGGCATATCGATTTGTTGTTTACATACAGGACAAGGACACTTTTCTTTGCCTTTTTCAAGGGCCCAATTATCTAAACATCGGCAACACATGGTATGACCGCAGGGTGTCAACTTGGGCTCCTTTAGCCGCTTCATACAAATAGGACAGTTGAGTTCATCACCCTCTAGTTCCACGGCAGCAATGTCATCCTCTTCATCACTTGTGTCAAGCTGAGCAGCTGAAAAAATGTAATGTTCATTTAGTAATGTGAATCAAAGTTGGCGAGATTTTGCTCGAGGCAATCGTAATGTCTTACACTTAAGTGTGCTGATTGAAGATTTATTATGTTCTAGAAACTCGTACATTCTACTGTCAATTGTGTTTGTTAAACGTCATTGTTGATTGAAAATAATGGAGTGTTATTTAGGATTGGGATCATAGCTTTTAGACCTATGTATTATTAGATATATATAAAACGAGGGATGATTGATTTTTAGTTGAAACTATACAGCTGAAGTGCGGGGAGTAGCTGTCCCAGTGTAAATGAGCATAACCAACTCCCATAATCCGAGTTTTACTCAGTTTTACTTTTGCAAACACGCAAGGTAAGTATATTTTTCTTTTACTTTTGAACATTTTCAATTCATTTTCTGGGCCAGAGAACTTGCAAACTATGTAATTTAGATGGAATAAAGAATGAAATTCACTTCTTGATAGCATGTCCACACTGTAAGCTCCTTAGGGAAACTTTTTTTATAGTCTGAGATAGAATTCAAGACTTTAATAATGCAAATTCACTATTGACATTTATTAGCCTAGGCCTTATGCTTGCAAAGAAGATTTAAAAAACTTGCAGCTCTTATTCATGATATGTATTCAAAAGGACTTCTAAAGTCCAGACATGGTTAAAACTGATATCATCTTTATTCCAAACTTTTATAATTGATCACAGAACTGGGCAACAAGGGTCTGTCCTCAATCTGTCAGTAGTCATTGCCAATCATTTGATTTCAGAATATTGTATCAAGACAGTGTATGTTCATATCATCTATTATGAAAATGGCCATTACATAGCAAAATATTTGTCATTTCATTTAAAGATGGCAGCACTTGTATACTACTCTTAAAATGTTAACATACAATGTATTCTTAGCCGGTTGTTAGTTTTTTAAAGTATTTAATAGTAATGAAAATTTTTTAACATGTGACACAGAAATAAAATATTTCAAAGTTAAACTACAGGATGTACCAGAACCCATGAGCAATTTTTGAGGGAGATATAAGGCATGGATGATTTTCATTCTTTTGTGCACTAAATTAAAAATACTAGCTGTACATTGAGGAACTAGACAACAGCAACGCCAAAGCGTAGCAAATCCCATCGAACAGAAACAGCTGGCATTTTTACAAACGAAATATATAGCAAATATCGTAAAATAACACACACCAGAAAGACCACCATCTTCAAAATGGTCGCTCACTAGCCAAGTTGTCAAAAAGGAATATGCTTTTAAGGCACATATAAAATATTTTAAAAATCATACACACGTCCATTTTTTGAAATGGCCGCCTACTACCGAAAATGTCATTAGTTATTGTGCCATGCTTATAGTATTCACATATCAAGTATGAACAAAATTGGTCAACTACTTTACAGCAAAAATCGTAAAATGACGTGCAAAGGCAGGCATTTTTCAAGATAGCTTCCAAGTATTTCTTATATATTTACATTTGTACCCTAATCTATGTCCTATATAATTTTTTTTACATTTAAAACATATTGCTATTAAAGTTGTATATACAGTACCTAAATTACTGTTATTAAAGCACTAAAATGGCTGCCATTCTTTAACGAGCGGCCATTTTGAAAATCAGCTTTCGAGCAGAACTTGTACTCCCATAGGGCACATGTGTACTAAATATTAACAAAATCGGACGAACGGTATTTGAGTTATCGCCCGGACGGACGGACGTAGGTGCGTACGTACAGGTGTACGTACGGACGGACGGACAGACGGACGAACGGAGGCGTTTCCCATATCCCTCCGAACTTTGTCCGATGGGATAATGATTGACATGAATTTCAGGCACATATCTTTATATTTCTGAATTTATAGTAGTTTGAATTCTTTATCCACGGTGTTATAGCATGACGGTTAAGCCATCTCTGAAAACGAGGATGGACGCCTCTATAACCCCCTTTCGTTATAAAGTGAACATTGTTCAGGATCAACCCCCTTTTCTGATAAATCAACAAGCTCCAGGATGGTAACGAACCACACTCTTAGAAAGATGATTATTTTTGCGCACACATTGAATTGCCCGTTTGACTAGCTATTTGATGAATCACATACTATATTCCGTAATAATGATTGGTTCATTTTAACCGTTTCCGTTGAACGAAGCCCCCCCCCCCCATTTCCTTATAAAACAAACTCCCTGTTGAAGAAAATTAGACCCCCTTAGTAAATTCTACCTATGTCCCTGTAGAAACATCAGAGAGTTGAAACAAGCTAAGAGATAAGAAGAATCCATTACCCAAGATATCTTGGCAGTAAGCGTATTATCAGAACAAGTTCACCCAATTCGTTCCACTTAGCCACCAGAGACGAAACTGGCCTTTTAAAGGATGTTTTGAAAAAAAAACATTGAATCGTGGTCATTTGAAATAGACCATGGCCAATAAAACTAAAAAAATGATGGACATTGAACAAAGGATTGGTATCGATATGGCGAACTTTTTGAACACACGTTTCTCTTAAACCAATCATAAAAAAATTCTTAAAATTTACCCACCCCCTTAGTAAAATCTAGCTTTGTCCCTGTAGAGGCACCAGCGAGTTAAAACAGGAGATAAGAAGGATCTATTACCCAAGATATCTGGGCAGTGAGCGTGTAATCAGAAGACGAGACTGGCGTGGTTATTTGAAAATGGCCATGGACAATAAAACGGAAAAGAATGAAAGGACGTTGAACAAAGGATTGGTATCGATATGGCGAAGTTTTTGAACACACGTTTCTCTTAAACCAGTCATAAAAAATTCTAAAATTGTACACATCGTCAATTTAATGGTCATTTAAAGGTTCGGAAAGACATTTTATTTCATTCTCAAGAATTGGTAGAAAGGAACAAAAAACATTTGCACTAAAAAAAACAAAAAATATAAACAAAAACAGTTAAATAAAATATATACTAAGTATAAATAAGTTTCGCATTAAATTGTTGTCAATCAGTCGACATTTCATAAAAGCACCGTGTTTTTTTACAGAATGTTTTCAATAATTTGCTTAAGAGAAAAACGTTGTTTCAGAATTCAGTTCACAATATCGATACCTATCCTTTTTGATTGTGTCAAATATGATTTTGAACCAATGCTGGATGGCTGAGTTATTGACATTTTTTGGATCAATCTGTATATTTACAGTACCTAGATATTCATCTGAGTGTTTAGTTCTATCTTCTGTCCATGGATCAGTCAGCTTTTTTTCATACTGTTTTGTATAAGGTGTACTTCCGCCTGGTCTAACATCGTACACGCTTGTTGTTGCGCCAGCAGACTCATGGCCTCCCTGCAGTGTTTGTTTCAATGGTGATAAATACTCGTCCCCAGCAAATTGTTTTTCCTTATCGTACAATGCCATCATTTCTTTTTCTTTCTCGAGTGGATCTTCTTTTGGGCTTGTAGATTTACCGGGCTGAATATTCATATCTAAAATGGATCGAGGTTTATATTGGAATGCATGGGATTGACGAACTAGAAAAGATACATATTAAAGCCTTTCTATTGTACCACTTATTATGTAACCAACATGTAAGTCGTTTTATACCATGAATTAATGTATCCCTGACCACTGAGATCCTAGAGTAAAACAAACCACGCCACATTATACTAGTAATTCTTTAAATATTTCATTCCGTCCTAAAAATATCTTAAAACGGGCTGCGGTCCAGGTTGAATATGATTCAAACGAAAACGTTTATTAATGTCTGGAAACGTGTTCAACAAATAGTAGGACATTCCCTGTTTGCAAATGTATATTCATGAAATTCAAACATTTAACTGGTACTGAGGATATTGCTCTGAAGAGAATAACATTACGGTATTAGAAAAAATCAAGCATATTCAGTAATTTAAGACAGCTCGAAGAAAAATACTCTGTTATTGGACTAATCTCGTTTTACCCAATACCTTCTAGAGTAATTACAATAGCATTCAGACAGTAGCTGACAACATATGTAGTAAGAATGCATTCTTGTCACCTGATTCAGATTCAGAATAATCATCACTTGCTGCTACCAGCCCCTGTTCACCTTCCACTTTTACGGTGGTTTCTGTTCGTAATTTCTTTCTCAATGGCCCTTCTAGGTTAATATCTTCACTAAGGATTACCACATCATCTTCTGTAAATATATTAAGAAAATCGGTGAGAACAACCATTGGAACCCCCATATCACACTGAACTAGTTCTCAACCATTTTTTCCAGTCCTACAAAAATTATAAAACGGGCTAAATCTGGCTGTTGTCGGGAAATGTGCCTGAAATAGTTAGCTACATCGTCTATATACAGTCTTCAATACGTCCATCTCATCCGAAATTCGTTTAGTTCGCACTATGTCGCTGTGTACAGTACAATTGATATCCGTTTGCACAACGTTGTCAGCGTCCCTAGTAAAGTCGAAGTGCGGCGATTACGTCCCTAGTTTAGTAGGTCATCTCGAAGTATTTTGTCACATGATCTAATTACAGAACAGTATGATCGCCATCCAAGGAGGATTGGCTCCCAGAGTGCAACATCGATATTCTGTCCCATAAATATGGAAATGTCGTGATTCAAAATTTGAACTCATGCAGCCGCCATTTTGTTTACTTCGACATTTGAATCGTTAATTTTGATCTAAAGAAATGATCGAGATATTGGTTGAAATCTTTTTGACTGTTTATTTTGAATTAACAGTCGGTAATGATTTCAGAAAATATAGAAATATGTAAGGAATATGCTTACATCGCTTAAAGCAACACGACGACGCGTTATACTCGAAAACTAATTGGTGAGATTTTGCGCAAACGAAAGTGGTACGCAAGAGACGTACGTCTAATATGTCAGTCATCGCTAAATATGTCTAAAATAATAAGCTACTTCTTTAAACAGTCTTCAATAATCAATACGTCCATTTCATTTCCAGTTCCTCCAGATCGCATCATGTTGCTGAATATGGTTCTGTATATTGCAGTCTTACATTATCAAAGGCTGATGACTGTTCACTGTCTGATGACAGCACTTTAGTGGGATTTATTGACAGGAACGGCTTTCCTGTTGGTAACAATATTACCACCAGAGGATGCGGGTTTTATTAGAATTCATTCGGTTTTGTTGGGTAATTTTCAATGGATTTCCATGTATTAGTCGCTTTCGCTTTACTGTTACCGTTATCGTCGCCACTAGCGAATCAGTCCATAACTTATTAACGACATTCAGATATTCAGTTGTCTGATTTTTGTATTTTAGCTTCATATTTTGTGTATTTTAATGAGATTTTTGAAATATTCGGAAAGCAACGACGGTGTACACACTGTACGAAAATTCCACAAAATCGATATCCCAGTGAACATGAATAAACAATGGATGTAGGCAGAACTTAACTAATGCGGCGACAACACCCCTCCCTCTTTTTAGTATCAATTTAAAGGTAGTCATCCGCCATTGATCTTTTGCAATGGACTCTGACTTTGTTCACAAACTACTTACCATTCTTTATACCTAAGCAATCACGAACAAATCCCTCGTCTAATGTTAAATTCACAGTGAAAGATGTCCCGATATATTTCTTCCTCGTATTTTCTGGAATCAATAGCTCAACCAAAGTCATCGTCAATGAGCCAGTGTGGAAGTCTTCGATCAACTTTGCTGCTTTCTGCTGATCAACCACTTTCACTTTCATAACAAGTGAACCTTTTGTGCTAACTTTATGTTCAACTCCATTATGCCGAAGATAATCTTCCAATGGTTGTTGAGACGTGGGGTCCGATGCAGTTTTCAAAGCTTCTTGCTCAATACTGGTTTCTTGTTGATCTGTTGATCCGGCACTTGACAAAGATAGCACAGTGATAGTCATCCCTTTGTCCTTCGTTGTGATTTCAATTTGCATTCCAGGT